TTAGGACGTTAATAGTATTGCGAAAAGCCGTTAACCAAAGTCAGATATCGGTTTCTTCCACTATAACGAAGTTTACGACTTCCCAGGGGATATTTCCGCAATTTTTTTATTAAAATACATTTCTACCGATCTATAGCGTATACTAATTTCGGCAAATTGTTTACGCCGTATAAGTCTAATGAATAGACAATCTCCGGGCGCTCTATTATTGTCCAATTCGTTTCTAGTCGGTTGGACAGTCCGTTACTGTCGGATACCCCGGTCGAGATAAAGCCCAGAGACCTACTGTGGCGACACAGAAGTCAAAAAATGTCGGAAAACGAATTTATCGGGTCCTGAGCAGTGAGTTTCGATTGCCGAGGACAGAAGTTGACTCAGGGGAGACATAGGAAAATAATTGTGCCAAAAAAACGACGTATAATGTAGTTTATAAATGAACTATTTTCAGCGCCCGAGACAAATAAACGGCAGGGTGTCTGAAGTAGACGGGGCAAGGAAAGCCTGTGTTTTTACGTAATGATGAGCACCTAATCAGGTGAAAACGCGACCTGAATGGGTCACCTGCTGGGCGGCGGCCGCGGGCTATTGACGGCCAAGTCTGCACACTGTTACCGGAACTCAAGCCGGAAGTTATGACGTTTATTGCGAAATTCGACGCGTGTTTGAGAGGAAGTAGAATAAAATATCTTGGTGTGTGTGCGCATTATTCAAAGTCCAAGTCCGGAAACGTTAAGTGCTCTATAAAAAATTATATCATATTAAGAGGGCAAAGGATTGGTTTATATTAACCGTTTAGACAGTTGATTATTACATGCAAGTGAACTTGGAGAGATGTCTTGTTGTTTTATCTACTCGTACGTGTGTTGTTTACTAGTTTTTAGTGTTTATTATACACTGTATAATGTACCGGTACAAACGCAGGTAGTGTTTGTTCGCGGTAATTGATATTTTATCCTTTACTTGTATTAATAAAAAACCAATAAACCTGCTGTCCATTTAATCACAGTATTCTGTTTCGATCTCACACACATTATAAACCATTGTCATCGGTGTTATTTAATATTATCGAAGTTCTCAAATTACACAAAATCTTTACGAATTCCGAAAAGAATTATGGAAATCATCAGAAAATAGTAAATTGAATAAAACAAGTTGAGGAGGTCGGAAAGGTTTCAAAAATCAACAAAACCGTTATATTGGCATACTAAAATAAGTAATTTAAAAACAAAGTGTCGTTAACAAACGCTGAGGTTCTAAGTGGAAATCGAATCCCAATATACTTAAACTTAACAATACTAACTCGAATAATAAACAATTTATCTAAAGCAATCGATAATTGGTAAGTTGTTGATCGGCAAATACAAGTATTAACGGCGAACGAGTCGTTTTGTGTGTTATTAACAAACTTGTTCATTTTCATTATATCGAGTATGACTTTAGAACGTCACGGGTATAATCGTTTAATTAATCACATGTACCTCGGGGTAATTGTTATGCCGGGCGCTTGTGCAACGCTTTCAGACAATAAAATAGTGTATTATAATAGCACGTTCTGTAGAGGCCTGCAGAACGCACATGAGTGTATGTAATAACGGTCTATCATGTTTAAACTGCCGTTTGACATTGCCCAAAAAACAAAACAATACACCACTCGGCGGTGCACACTTAAGTGCCAACAATGCGAGGCGGAACGCACATGGAAGAAACACACCTATTCCGTTTTGGGAATAAAAAGGAGGGGCAACTTGAGTATTGCCAAGAGAAATAGCGGCACAACAATAGGTGAGGTATCTGTAAAACATTATTGACGTATGACAATGAGCGCACACATAAACTCGAATTCGTCCGGCACTAGTGTTGAAAAGACTTGTGTGTTATTTTTTTCGCTTCTTATTACGCGACGAGTACCAGTCGTGATCGAGGGTTCCATTGTCGTTGACATCACTAGAAACGCACATAGGTGTAGTAGTGTGCCGGCCGGCTCCATATATTGTGCTCTCTGTCGTTCNTCGGCTCTATATATTGTGCTCTCTCTGTCGTTCATTCGGTGGCAGTGCCAAGAGTCAAGAAGGTCTCACCCCAGTCTACAACGAAAAGAAACGTTTTTTTCCAAAGACGAATTATTATTTACATTATTATTGCGTGTAGTTCTTATGCACATGTCTTCTGCCCAGCACAGCCGTGTATTTTGAGTAATAACCTGCGATAATGTATTGCTACGGCGAAGTCGACTATTGCCCTTGGAAAACAGATGTCCTGTTGGCGGTGTGCATAGCGCACATGCGTCCGCAATATAAATGAATGGCGGTGACGGTAACATGGAACAGTGGCGTTTATGATAAACGATAAACGCCACCGCCCCGTGGCAAAGTATCACAATATCAGCTGCGACCCGCAGTGGGTATTTACGATGACAGTCGAGTACTGGCTAACAATATAATAATATATTCGATTTCGCGACTTTGAACGCGGCACAATGTGCAGCTCATCGTGTTTCGATGGTATTTTGTGCGATTGTTGTGTTAGCGTTACATGAGAACGTGTACGAGGGACCGGCACACGAAAAGACCGCGTCGGACACATCGTTGAACTATATTATATGTGATAACAATAACTCGTTAAAGTGAACAACAACGATACAAGACACCGAAAGTATAGAATCTTTGATTTAAACATATTTTCATCAATTTATATCACTTGCCTTAACTGGATACTTTATTTCTTGTTAAATATACTTATTGATGATTTAAAGCATTACTCCGTTTCAATACGAACGTTTAAAAATAATAATAACAATTATGAGTAATAGCTTTTAATTAATTTATTTATTTTAAATTAATTTATAAGACTTTCAAAACATTTTGATATTATTTAAGTTTTTTAATAACAATGACCAAACTTTGCGAAACAAAACATTAAAATAGTATCTTCGACAGAAGTTTTTATTACATTAATATTGGATAAATAATGAAATTATATCCGCAGAAACGTTCCATTAATTTAAATTACCATAGATTTACTGACTTTTTGATAAACACCATAATTAAATTACCCTCATACCTTGGTTGTCGCATTTTGATAAGGATCAAAACCAGGTTACATCTGTTGAGTTTATATCTATGAAATGTTCTGTTATCAGTCAACTTACAGATTCCATCACATTTTATAATTTTTCCTTTTTATTCCATAGTTTTATTCGGTAATAAGTAAGTGCTCTGGAATTAATGGTACTTAAATAATATTACCAAAATCTATTATATTTATTGACTACTTAAATAATTAGCAATTATTTGTTATTGATGGGTAAGTTACGATAATTACAAATATAATCGAGTTTCTTATAAACAGATCTCTGAATGTTGCTTTTTTTAGACTATTTAACAAATTAATTTTACTAGAAAAACATTTATATTATGTAGATATCATATTACTCTAGTTAAATATATTAAATATAGAATAACTGTATGGAAAATTCGAAAACGTTCTAGATAGTTTTTTATAGGGTACTTTCCTTTATTCTCTTACGTAATACTTTTTGTAGTATACGTGTATAATAGTTTTCTGTTGGACTTCATAATGACCAAAAACACATTTTAGTACCATCTATGTGATCGCACTGTATCAAATAATCTTAAACTACTAGTTTTTACACCATTTTGTCGTTTATATTACTCGTAATAAACTAATTTAGTTATAATACTTTGTGGTAGAAATTACATTAAAACGTTACATCTATCAGCTTTTAAATGATCAACTTAGTCTAAAAAACTTTTATGCAGCTGAATAATTTCCAGTTCCTCGCTAAAATCTGTTCGTGTTACTAATACTAAATTTCATCTTACTCGTCCATGTGTATTAACCCTTTAATTACTATTATTTGTTTGCAAACAATTAGCTAGAATATACAATTAATATACTTAGAGTATAAAATTGAATTTATTTTCATTAATATTCTTTTATGCCTAATTAACAATGATTTTTTATCTTTAACAAATCTCCTACCAGATTTCACTCTTTTATTTATCGTGTTATACATAATTTTTTTTCATTCAACTAATTCTCTTATAATTGAATAATCGAAAAATCAATGTTTAATAAAATAGTTTAGAAGTCCTATAAAATTTTTCTCATAATTTAGTTGGAACTAAAATTTGAATTCAAATTTGGTTTTTTTTTTTTTACATTTTTTACTCAAATTTTAAAATTTAATAAGTTTCTTCTTAAAATTCACAATTTAATACCAGTTACCATCCACAATAGTCATATCCTAAAACTGATTTTACCGCGTTACTCTGTTATTACTTTGGTAATAATATTGATGCATATCATCTTTACAAGAGAATTTATATTATAACGGAGGTTTCGTTTTATTTTATCTAACAAATACCGCAGTATTGTAAAAAAAAAAAAAATTCCGAGATAATGCACACGCTATATACTCTCATAATTTTTAAGCGTTTAACAAAGTTATTATGAGTAAACAACCACTAGGGGTAAATAGTTCTTCATAAAGGCGGCAAGAGCGTGACAATATTGTTTACCTACATCGTAGGCGTGCTTAATGCTTTAGGAAAGAGTGATGAGACGGAAAGAAGAGGCATTATAAAAAAATACCAGTTAAACACTGGAATACAAACAAACGGACGTTGTGCCGTCTCGCAGAACGGGAAAGAGGCTGTTGTGTATGTGCGTGTTTAAGTTCGGTGGTAGTTTATAGCCATGGCGGGAGGACATGAGAGAGGGGCATTGGTAGCAGAGTTAAAAATTATTATTATAATGCGGGGGCCTAGGCGGCAGCGGTGGGACGGACGAGTCGCGCCTGGCGGATGGGGCATATCTTCCGGACGAATGAGCATCGCGTTCTATATCGATCTATGTGCTGGCACGCCATTGGAGCATAGGCGGCACTCCGACCCAACCCACTCACCCCATCCCTTCCACCGGCACCGGAACCGGGCGGTACGGCAGCGGTACCGTTCGGACGCGATGGCACACGTTACTGAACCGCGCGGTCACTCGAAGTACACGCGGTGATGCTGCTGTAGCTGCAACACTTATATGACTACACAACACATTAACACACATTAACGCAAAACCCGCTTACACTTCATCGAATCTCGGCGCTGTTATCAAACAACGATTGTTTGCTCGTGTATGCTATTCGTGATTCGTCTTGGTGTACTTGATACCATTTTTAGCTAAGTGATTTAAAAATTCGTTTTCATTAGAAATTATTTCAACTTTCCAATAATTTCATGTTGGTCAAAGTTACTTTGATTTAGTGTGCTGCCGCGTTATTGGATTATTATTCAACATTTTGAGGATTTTAAGATCAACCAGTGAGTACTTGTTAAGATATCATTATACTTCATAAACAGTATTGGTCGTAAATGACCGGTGAAGTTCTCTCTCGATGTTTGTTTTTTACTAAAAGTTCTTTCGACGATGTGGTGTTTTAAGGTTTTTAATGCGATCACGACAAAAGTATTTTATAGCTATGGTTATTATAGTGACATCATAATTATATAGTTGGAACAACTATCTTGTATAGTTGGTCGAACTATAATATCAGTTGGAATTACTAAATAAATTTACTTTTGGTTCAACTGTATAAGATAGTTCTACTTCCAACTATATAATTAAGTTGTCACTATATAAACCATAATTTCGGTTGGTCCAACTATTTAGTATTTATCGTCTATTATTCATTATATTCATTTAACAATCATCGCAATACATAAATCATCTGTAGTACAAGATGTATTATTTTCTTCGAGATTTTTTAATGTAATATATAAAAATAGAATATTATTCTCTCGCCATTGTAATATTATTAGAAATTATGCACTTCATAACCTAAACGGCGGAAGGGCATGAATACTCTGAGATATATCATGTTTACAATAGAAAGCGAACAGAAAATTAAATAAACTTAAATTAAAACACTCCATCAGATACATTGAACTTTTTCGGTGATTTTTAATGAGATTTTAATAAACATAGCTATTTGCACTGGAACTGGTGAAAGCATAGACTCAACTAGAAGAGTGAGAGTTAAACAGACTAATCTCTCGGGATATGTGAAAATTGTAACATTTTTTACATAATCATGTAAAACAAATAAGTGTTATGATATTTATTGTGAAAGCTTTAAATTATATTTTAGGTTTACTAGTCATGAAAAATAAAACTACGATAAAATAATTGCGCATATATTTCCTCGTGTATTTTTCTGTATTTACGCCAAAGTTTCTTTAAGCAAAATATTTCTCTGATGCTAACTAATGAAAATAATTATTTCACAAGTATTATGTTTTCATCAAAACATTTGTAATTCATAAATTTTCTCAGTGCAGCTTTATAACCTATAAGCTTTTATCTTACCTGTTCATTATGTATGAAACGATCTAACAATTATTTTTCAAATATTTTACCATATGTGCCACCGATCAATTTGGCGTTTCACCAAGAGGTATATTTTTTCACATTGTTTAACGATAAAACAATAATTTTAAACAATTTTTATATTATTTGAAACTAGAAATTGATCATCGATACATTCTTAGGTTTATGAGTGTTTTTTTGGTGCAATTTTGTAGAAATTAATACAAACAATTTATTAATTTTATAAATTTTATAAATTTTAATGTCGTGCCAATGTTATCTAAAGCAAATGGATAAAAATCGACAAAGATTTTAAAACGCGTTTTGTTTTTAATTTACAAAAGGGTTGCACATTTTTACATATTTAAATAAAATATTTTTCAGGCCATCATTCGAAATTAATATATATTAATATTCGTATTACACGTTTAAATGTAAATATAAATAAGTTTATAATTTTACATAACGCCACAACCTGAAAGGTCAATTATAAACAAAGTTTTAACTTTATTTAAATCTCTGGTATATTTTATTAACACTCGAATGGCGCGAAATGGCACATTTGTTTTATTCAATCGACACATGAATGTTGTGTAAAGATGTGAATAAACGAGCGTATAAAAATGTATCAATGCGTGTGTCTTTGTGTGCATTTTCCGCCCGTCGCTCAATTACACGAGATAAAAAAATAACCCAATGAAACAAAAGATTTAAACGAAAAGAATAAGGTGCAGATAAATGCGGTAGCGTAGTACACTCGGAGGGTAGTCAATTAAAAATCAGTCGGGTTTGTGCAGCGCACTCGATGCGCCTGTATCAGTTTTATGCGGCGGGGGTGTGTTTTATTATTATTTCATTAATAGCCCTCGTTGGGTTTAGCTTAACAGCGAAAGCGAATGAGACAGACCGAGCAAAACACTACCCAGTTTGCATTTCGAGTGCCGCCGACCGTATTATTATAATGTCATACACATTGAAATGTGAGAAATTCGAGACGCGCTCCTTTTGTGTACGGCGCATACTATTTGCAGTACTAATAATGATGTGGTACGCTGTTATTGCGTGTTTTTTACACTTGCGAGAGAGTTTCTCGAGGGGTCGCCATCAAGTGGTCGAATTATGATATTAACGCGGCTCGTAGGAAATATGACGTCGAGTGAGCTACCGGAGCAAATTACCCGGAGAGAGATTTTGTGTGTGTGTGCAAGCGGCGAATGCGACGACCGANTTTGTGTGTGTGTGCAAGCGGCGAATGCGACGACCGATCTCCGGGACCCCAAGTGATGTTTTAAACGCACTCGACCACCATGACAAGCACGTCGTTGCACCAAACACGATTTTTTCACGGGGATAAACAACCGTAGGGATAAAGGTGTAACACACCGCGGTTCGTCTTCTGCCATTACAAAAAAGAGAAACCGAAAAATGAGACTGTTAAATAATTGTTTGAAATGTCCGTGCAAAATATTCTAATGGCGTTAATCGATTGTCTCGAAGTGTACTCGACATTAACCCGACTTTAATGTGTTTTAGATCTCTCGTCCGAGTATGTTACAAGGCATAAGTAGAACCGAACAAGCCGGCCTGTTGCCTCATCATCACCATCACCATCACCACCACCACCATCAGTCTTTGGCCGCTCACCACGGGATCGGTACAGGGTCGGGCTGGCCGCCGAATCACCACGACGATCTCGCTCATAAGGGTAAGTCGATTATATAATTGAGCGATTTGCACGCAGTAGAAACGTTAATGTTAACCGTAGACGTCGCTGTCCGCTTGAAGTTTACGCGGTTGTGTTTTCAGCAAACCGCAGCGACGGCGGCGGCAGCACCGCGTGTAGGTTATTCGATCCGAAACGTATACAGGCCGCGATAGGAGGAGACGGCCACACTACGGTGTCTGAACAGAATGCGTCCAACGCGATGTAAAACAAATAATAAACCGACTCCTCCGACGAGTTGTGCGCCGGCGGCGGTGCAATAAAAAAAGGGGCAAGTGTAGTGTTTCTCGCGCGCAGTGCTCTCGGGCGCGCGCGCGCGTGTGTGTGTGTCGGTCGGAGACATGATTCCGTGTGACTGGTTCACTCATGGATGGAAAAATAAGTGTATAGGAACCAGCTCGCCGTGGATAATTAAAAGGAAAACGGGCAGAAAGAGAACGTACACTAAGCGCGCGTATAATGGAAAATGTCGTTTTATCGTCTACGCGTACTCGGTCGATTTTAATAATAACAACAAAAACAACGTCAAACGTATTGGGTTTCATACCTCGTGTCATGCACCGGCTCGTCTGTTTTTTTGTGCCCGTAGTGGTTTTGCCGCCGCCATGCACGTAACGCACGGAAAACACAACGTGCGCGTTATACGACACCGATAATAGAAAAAACAACGTTCGTGGACGTTTCAAAGCTTTTGGTTGCGCGGCGGCGGTACGCGTCCGTCGACTGTCGTCCTCGTTGCACGGCGTTACGCGATTTTTCACAATTATTTTTTATTCATTCCGAACGGTCGACCGTAATGAGATTCCACTGTCGCTCGACAGAAACTCGTTGATGTTTAATTAATATTGGCGCGCCGTCTGCTCGTACGTTTGTGTCCCTCGTGCGGAGCTGCACGAGAGAACTTGCAGTGTTTTTTGTAGTTTTCTTTTTTTTCTTTTTTGTACACGGCGAACAATGACATTCTGATCAGCGCGATAAACAGTGGGAAGTCGTCGATTAATCCGTACGGATCTTCGGCGGCAGCGCAAAAAAACATTGGAAACGAGTAGCAAAAGGGTTGGCGATGCACACGACGCTTGTAGGCAAAAAAAAAAAAAAATTGATGGGGACGCCGCTGGTGTGACCGAAAAACGGCGGCAGTCGCCTTACACTCAATGGGACGTGGCAAATAATAATATATCGTTTCCCAAACGGCGACGCTAATTTAACGAGCTCACACGCTGAGCGCGGTCCCTTTTCCGTCGACGCACAAATGCACAGCTGCGGCTTCTTCGACGTCTTGTTCTTCTTGTTCTTCTTCTCACACACCTGTCAACGCCGTTGATTGTCATATAAAAAGCAACTCGCCATTATGTTATCAATATTACAGAGATATTCCGTTCATTCACTAAGCGACAAAAAAAAAAACTCCGTAAAATACATACCTATGAGGTGTGTGCACAATCATACTCGACTGTACATCACCACTCGACCGTCAAATCGGCAATTACCTCTTGAGGGCGACTCTGTCTGTTGCACGCGCGCCGTGAAGTATTTCTTTATGTGCAGTGCACACTGTCGAGCAATTGTATCTGCACAAACGCTACTCGCTAACGTCTAATGTGTAATACTAATAACACAATGTATTTTTCAAAATATTTTAATTAAAAATTGTTTACTTATTTGTGGGGAAAAAAAAATCGTTTATTGAATGATAAATTAATTTTGAAGGTTGTGTTACCGTTAATAATACTAGCATCCTTTTTTGATTTGTAAATTAACAACGGCGAGTTCTCTAAAAATGTAATATCGAGTTTCATAACGAGTTGCAAATAAGATTAAAAGGAATTATACAAACGAATTCAGTTCAATCGAATTATTTTTCATTCAAAAAGACGTTGCTAAATAATTTACAAAATACACAATGTCCGTTTTAATAATATAATTTTGTTTTATTGACATCAAAAATGTTATGTCTTTCTGATTTAAGTGAAACTTTTTTTTAATATTTGTTTGACAATTATATAAAACATTTTACGATAACACTTACAATACATTCTTTATAAAAAGAATTGTTTTTTTTACAAATCTAATAATGACTTCTAAAACAAAGGGGAATTTCTTGGTCATGTGACAAATTCTAGATTTTTAGTAGATTGTGTTAGTTTAAATTTAATGTAAACAAAAATAGTTTTTATTGAAATGAAAATATTGTTATTGTATACAATACAAACTGCAGCGTATCTACATTTTCCAAATTTTCAGTATACCAATATCATACTTTTTAATATCATTTAACGNTTTTCCAAATTTTCAGTATACCAATATCATACTTTTTAATATCATTTAACGCAATTATTTAGTATTTGCACAACTAAATATTCATATCATAACTCTTATTAATTTCTGGTGCGGATACGAGTAACGTATTATAACACCAGAAGATATGTGTTTTTCACATGACCCCTTATGGTTGCCTTAACTTTACTAATAAATGATTTTTGAACAACACTAAGTAATTACTTAAAATTCTATAAATAATTAAATTTTGATACTATAAAATGGCATAATAATTAATAAATATATTTTATTCGTTATAATTTTAATTTGTGTACCATTTTTTTGAAAATTTGAGTAAAACAACATTTCTATATTATGTCCCTGTTGTGAATTTATCAAATATAACAGTTTAAATTATTTATGATAAAGTTTAAATGCTTACTAAACTTTACTGTGAGTACATTAAAATATAATAACAATTGAAAGTAAACCAAAGTTATTTTCGCCATCGACCGTTTAACAACTGATTGTCTATTTAATTATGTTTTAAAAATATGTTTATTTTATAAGAAAACTAAATGAAAACGAATAAACAAAGAAAATAATTTTGTCATCAAGTCTTATAACATTGTTATAAACATAAGGCACTGGTTGTTAAATATATTAATGACTATACATACTTTTTTCAACTTTATATTTTGATAACCACTTAATGGAAAACGTTATTAGGAGCAAATTCAATGATCGCTACAAAATTCGGTCCCTTTTATTAGCTATTGAAACATTGTGGTCTATGCATTATTATGTCAGTTAATAGAAGTTTTATTTTCATCATAATCGAATTCTTACTTAACCCTCTCATTTCTTTAATAAGATTAAACAATTACACGAATTATTTCGATTTTATTTTATTTAACAATTTTTAACCTCATATAAAACTATACCATACTATACCCTATTAAAAAAACACGGGAGTGATTGCGAATTGTAAAATAATTTTTACTCGGGGAGGAGTTTGTTCTTTTGCGCTTCTTCCAGAAATACAGTTGATGTTGAGTCGAATGTATGTATATATCTATACTATAGAGAGTGGAGACCGCAGCAGCAACAACAGGAGGGGTTTCCCCTTTAAGATATTGCGCGTGGCGTGCAAATGACACGCAGAATTAACTGCTCCCTCTCTTGCCTTCACTTGGTACCACAACTGCCGTGCGGCGGGTGTCTTGTCACCCCGAAAATCCCCATGAACGGGGAAACGAGGTGCGGGTATGACATATAAGAGGTCCTGGAAATATCAGAACGCCAAGGGCTGTAAGAAATGGGCGGTAGAGCGGGGGAAGAGGGGATTGGAAAAATGCGTAAATGGCGGAAGAGTCGGGAAAAGAAAAGTGGTCGGGCGGAAAAGCTCCAAGTGCTGCTTTTCTTCTGCTCACCACATGTTTACTCGATCGGAGCCAAGAATTTTTTAACAATATAATTTATGTAATGATGTATTTCGTATTGAATATCTGTACAAAAATATTGTGTGCGTATGTTTTTGAAGTAAAATTTTTAAAAGATGAAATTTATCAGACACGTTTACAGCGGCCACACGAGTATGTCTATGAAGTTTTTAATTGTCATGTCTGTTGCGATACATAAAAGAACGATTGTCGTCCAGCAGCACACTGCTGGTGTATATAATCCCACGATATTGGGTTATGACGTTTTACATTGGAACGCCAATTATATGTGAAACTGCAACTATCGAGTATACACTAAAATCGGAGGCCCATAGAAATATGTTACACGTGGAAATACAATGCGGAGACTTACAATGTAATATGCGAATTGTTGGGCTGTTGTCCGCGCGCGAATTCCAAAAAGAGAAAAAATATATAATGTACCAGAAGAGAAAATATACATAATAATAATAATGTGCGCGGACCTAATGCCGGACAAAGGTTATAATATATTTTTATATAGAGCTTGTAAGGCGTGCAATAATAATAATATAATAATAAAAACCGTCCGGTGAATGGATGTTTTTGTGTGTGTATTATTTACTGAACCGGCGGCGGCGATGAATTGTGTTAACAAATTTGTAATCCGCGTATAATCCTGTAGGGTTTTGTTGTCCGGTTTTTTTTTTAAGAACTGTGTAAGCCGCCATTTTACATAACGTATCTCGCTTGTAATTATTGTTTGAACCGTGTTTTGACAGGTATTCTGTGTAGGTCCCCCACACGTCATCTACAATGATGTCTGTGGAAGAATACTCCGATCGGTCGATTTGGACCAACGGCTTATTCAAATAATGTGTATCAATAGAGTTATTACCTAACGCAATACCTACTCGCATAGTATAATTTCATTGGCCGGTTTAAAAAACACGAGTTGTACTGGTAACACACGACTACGGTCGATTTTTAATTGGCAATCTTTGACGGAACACATGAAATGATCGCGTTTCAAGAAATTCCATAAAATTAAAGGAGAATTTTAAAGAGTGTATCGCGTAAACGTTCCGAAAATCGTCGAGTTCGAATCGAATGTGAAACGGACAAATTTCGGGTGGTTAGATTTCTCTGGAAATGGACTTGCTAACCGTTTTGTTTGTTGATATCAAATGGAACGTGTAATTGTGTGACCTGCCGCTGCGTCTACAGTGTTGTGTTAATCGACACACCAACACCTGGGCGGAACAACCGTCGAAAGGATTGACCCGCCGCAATTACCGCTGCCGTTTCTGGAAATCGAATTTATGGCAATTGAAAAAGAAGTTTTTGCAAAGGCCGACAAAGGAGACGCGTACGAGAAAAACGCACCTGTTCAAACCGTTGTTTGCTCTATCAATACCGCCGCCTTATTGTGTACGGCGGCGGCACACCTACTGCACGTAAGTGAACGATCGAGGGTAATAATATAGCGTTACAATTCCCTCGGGGTCGGTTTAACGGTGTTATCCCCCGGCGGTGGGCCCCGTTCTTCCGTTGTTTACTGCTGTCGAGAGGCTCGAAACGAGTCCGCCCCCGCCCAATACAGCCGACTCGAGTGGTTTGCCGGCACTAGACGCGGTCTCAAAAAACGTTTATCGCCGTTTGTTGTCGTAATCGTCCGAAGATATTCACGGCTGACGTCGGGTTCTCGGCACGCACATATCTGTCGTGTACTTGAGACCGCTGAGGTTTATTGAAATGATTTTATAATTAGTCGCGCATAAAAATAACGTACGTAATATTATTGAGAACACGTTGCAAACTCGTTCTTGAATGACATTTGCATGTAATTATCTCGGAGTATTATCATAAAGTCACGGATGAATATTTATTTGACGTTGATTACCATAATCATTGCAACATTGTACGAAGCTTATCTCAACGATGAATTCTCCATCCCTTCGTTTATAACAGCACAATAACGTGGTGTCATTGCATGAAAAACACTCGCTCTCTTTCTCNCATTGCATGAAAAACACTCGCTCTCAAAGGACGACGCACAGCAAACGTGACTGGTCGTGTATTATTTGCGCGCAGTTTTGTGTAATCAACGTCACCGTAGTAATGGATGTCATCGGCTACCGTTTTTTATCATGGGCGTTGTATTGTTGTTATTAATAAAACGCAGGGTGTTTCCAACAAGGCGGGCACCGGACAACCGGATGTACAAGGCATACGACATGGGAAAAAAGCCACGTTAAAGCGGGTTGGCCTCCGGTCAAACGTTTCTCCCCATTAGCGATCATCGGGTTTGAAGACACATGTAAACCACAGTGACCGCCTGCGTAATGATCTGTTTGACCCTCTAGTCCGGAGGGAACGATTACCGGCAGTTCAAACCCTTAAACGCCTTTAGCCACTTTACTTGTAATGTTTTTTGTCTAATGAAACTACGATACCAATTATCTCTTTGAAATTGAAATAATTTAGTTTACAAATAATGTTCCGGGTTAGGAATTTCTAAAATGAAAATTGATCACCAAAACATCTCTCAAAAAGGGAAAATCCACAGTATAACTCGAAACTAGTTTACTGATAATAATATTTGTCATCAGTCACAATTAGATTTAGGATTTATATTCATCTAGAAAGTTCAATATCATATGCATTTAAGCATACAAAATTCTTGAATTGCGCAACAAAATATGTTGTTCATATTGTTAAAGCATACGAAAATATTTATTTTTGGCTTATAATGGGTTTAAAAGTAAAAAATTAGCTTAAAAACAATGCTATTTCAGGGGATTTTAAGTACAATTATTAACCTAATAAATTCTTGAATAAAAATAATAATAAGATCAAGTAATTTAGAGCAACTAACTTACTCGATTCGTTGCTTAAAAAGGATTCCAGCAAAGAAATTTAGCCTACTTATTTTAGTTTCAACATGAGTTTTAAATTTCCTGATATTTAATAAAAATGCGTTCTAAGTAATAAAGTCATATTTTCTTATTCTTATTTTATGGAAAATACAATTAAATAATGCTATTATTCTTAGAAAACAGTTAAACAAAATATTTAACTATTTTATAAAATAGAAAATTATCTAATTAAGAAAATGTCCGATTTAATATTTGAACAGGTATTTTAGAAGTTATTAAAATTTAAAAACGTAGAATATTGGCGAGTTACAGGTTTTGACTATTTTTAAGTTATCAACATTTTTATACCATTGTGAGATGAGAACAAGAAATATCCAATGTATGTGTATGGAATTTATACGCAGTTATAAAAATTAAAATTTAGAGATAATTAATTAAAGAAAATAATAAATTAAATGGTTTTTAGATTGGTAAATTAAAAATGTCTGTATTACTTACAAGTTGGATAAACCCTTCGAACTAGAGTGTCTATTACTGTATCCTTAACCATTAAATGTTTTTAAATGTATAATTTTGCTATTGTTTATATTATTTTTGATTTCAGTTGGCAACACTGCTGATTATGATGATAGGATTATTGCAACTCGTGAATTAGATTTAGGTACTGACACAATGACCTTTCTATTTAATTAAAACGTATAATTTATGAGAAAAAATGTTTACAGAAGTGACAAACTTTGGTTGTGATTTTTGTGACTAAAAACAATTCACATAACGGTCACTTCTGTTTTATCATATATTATAACAATCTATAAAAATACACCCATGTACAGTGTTGCCAACTAATTACCTATGGTAGAGCTGAGCTTACTGTGTATGTGTGTTCAAAGATTATTTGATTAATTTGTATCTTATTATCATAGGACACAGTGGTGTTAATCAGTTGGGAGGAGTGTTTGTTGGTGGTAGACCATTGCCAGATTCCACTAGACAAAAAATAGTCGAATTAGCTCATTCAGGAGCTAGACCTTGTGATATATCTAGGATTCTTCAAGTTTCCAATGGATGTGTTTCAAAAATTTTAGGAAGGTCAGTATGAAGCTTAAGTATTTACTTCGGCAAACATATCAATAGTTTTATTACGAAGTTAATTTCAAAATATTATCTTGTATAATCTACATAATTACACGAAAAAATACACGCGGAACAAAATACTTTTATCATCTCAATTTTCGTATTATTTTGTTACTTTGTTTAAAAAATATTATTTTAGTCTAATTTTGTTTAAATTAATTTTATTCTAATTATATATATATACTACATTAAACTATACAACATATCGTATTGAACTATACTTTCCAGGTACTACGAGACTGGTTCTATCAGACCTAGAGCAATTGGTGGTTCTAAGCCTAGAGTAGCTACCGCCGAAGTAGTATCAAAAATTTCTCAATATAAACGTGAATGCCCGTCCATATTTGCATGGGAAATTCGTGATCGGTTGCTACAAGAAGGCGTCTGTTCCAACGATAATATACCTAGCGTAAGTGTATACATTTATATTAAACATTTGAGATAATAGATTTTTTATTTCTTTGACAAAACTTGTTTTTCGGTAAAACTGGACTAATTGTTTTTGCATTAGAAGTTTTCAAATAGGAAGCAAAGAATGAATTTCGATCCCTGTAAATTACATTGACATTTGCGCGTAAAACCGCAATTGAAAACAAAAATCTATTTAAAAAATGTTACGGTTGTAAATCTGTGTGTTTTTTTACTTTATTACGAAAGGGAATTGACGTGCGCGCGGGTGTGATCACGGCCTCGACGGTGACCTCGGGGAAAGGGAGACCCAAATCAGATTTCTTACGCATCACCGAATCGCGCCTCTCCCAATCAGTGTCAACAGCTCGTCGTCACCGTTTCCATCGATGGTCGTATATTTTTCAAAACCCCGCCGATTCGGTGTCTGATAGAAAAAAAGTAATTATTAAAGATAACGCGTTGTTTGTAAAAACAAAAAAAAATAAAAAATAACTAATAAACCCAAAATAACAGTGTATCTTCAAAAATAACTCGTCAATGCTATTGACAAATTTTCATCAGTATGAGAATTAATTAAAATGGACATCGAAATAATATTAAAAAAAAAGAATATGATGGTTAAATTAATTTTGCGGTCGTAAATTATTTTTCGGTTAATTTTAAAACCTCGTTGCATAATCATCAGTTTAATTTTAGTGGTTCTTTTACACTTGCCGAGAATGCTCGAATATTTTAGAAATGGCTATACCGGAAATACTTAATTTTAATTCACGTGCTGTGTCTTGCATGTAAACATCTCTGACTTTTGTGAAATATGAAAAGCACACGCTATTGGAATCTTAGCACCAAAGGTCGTTGTGAAATGAGATTATATTTTGAAATATTTTTATGATCCTTTGTCACACAAATGCACGCTAGACGCTGCAGTGGTTTCAACCCCTTAGAACACAGTGACTCAAAACGTTAAGAAAGGGTGGCGAACGTGGCTTTTGGTGATCACGACCTCGGGGATATACAAATTTTGGGATGCGCGAGCGGGCGCATATTTTCCACGCCTCAGCGGCTCCCCAAACAAACAGTCATGCCGCCTTAACGTCACGGCCGCCACTACACATCGCCTCCCCAGGGCACATTTTAAACAGCGCCAGCAGTCGCCAGACGTCGTGGCACAATCCGTTTTACGCCTACTCAAACCGAAAGAGACCTTTTTTCCTCGTGAACAGACTCGCATTCTCATGCCTGACATAATAGGTAGACACACAAACGTATAATATCAAATTAGCCTTTCATTCGCAGACGCGGATTAGATTTGAGACTTATTAGCATTAGTGAAGAGGTAGACAATAGGGAAAATTTCGAAATTACGAGTCGAAATCAATACGAATAGACTGAATCCACAAAGTTCACTATGCCAAGAATTTTCGTCTATATAAAAATCATATGAACTTCAATCAAAATCTCTCGAGTTGTGCTAGTAACTTTCGTAAAAATTGAAATTTCGTTGCTCGCATCATATCTTAGGTGACCATCGGCATAAAAATTCCAGTTGTACCTTGTCAGCCCATACTGGTTGGGATTTCCATTATTTCGTCGGATTCACACGTATTTAGCGATTTAATGTGAATTTCGTTCCCTTGATTCGTGTCTGGGTTTCTTTAATAAATATTAACGGTCATATTATTATTATTATTTTATTATATTTACACGCATTCGTTTCCCTCGATAAACGTTTTTAATTGTTCCGCATGCGCCTCTGCTTGTTTCCCCCGATTTGTGGGAATCGAACAATATTTTGACATTTCTACATCCTGGAGTCACCCCGACGTGATCCAACTATACATTCTCACACACGCAGACCAGCGTACGCATGCCAACATTACCAGCTCGAATCCATAAGGTTTTGGTATATAATAGAAAATGTACATAAGGTGAAATAATAATATCCCTGTTCGAAAACATACATAGATGCGTGGAGAGAGCAATTACAAATGTCTTTTATGCCGACGAACTCCGGGAGTCATTTGTTCCACAGCTTGTCCATTGTTGTAGGTCTGCTGCTGCATTTGTACCGTTGATGGCGAAGAGAGATAATGTCTTTTTTTTAGCGTTTAAAAAGAGGGGCTATTGTTTTTCCTCCTGTGTAAAACTCGCTTTTCATTCAGTTCTGTCGCATGATGTTTTTAATTTCCATTCGAGAAAGTGTATATACGTATAATACTATTTTTTAAGTATAATGTGCTGAAGAATTTAACTAGATTGTATCGGTACCTTTCATACCCACGTCAACAACATTTAACAAATTTAAACGATCCGTGATTCTTTTTATGTAAAAGAATACCGCGATATATACAGTGTGATCGGTTTATCATAAACCGCTCGATTACTCGCAAAATAAATATATTGTTGGAAAAAAATGGTTGATTTCTTTTAGTTACATATATTTCTTGATACATCAACTGATAGTTATTTTTTTTTGAAACCAGTAGCTCAAAGAAGTATCAAATTAATTTTTTTAAATGCCAACATACATATTTAAGTAGCTTCTTACTAAATAAAAAATAATCTAATTAAGAAAACGACTAGTCGATATCAACTTTTGGACTTCAGAAGTTATTCTGGTTTTTATATCTAAGCGACACGAACAGTACGGACGAGAATGAAAGTAACAACACCCACTCCACATCTCCAGTCATTGCTTACAAGTGTTAATAATAATGATCCAAAAGTGGTTATCGACTAGTCATTTTCTTAATTAAATTATTCTCTATTTTACAAACTAGTTAAATATGTATTTTATAAAAGTATAGTTAACACCAAGTTATAATGGTTGATTCAAAAAAATAATTATTAGTTACTGATAATTATATGTAACTAAAAGAAATTTGTTTTTCTAATATTGTATTCATTTTGCGAATAATCAAGTGGATTATGATAAACCCATCACTCTGTATACTGTTCTCCGTCGACAATTTTTAAATTTAGAATTAGTACTTTAACTCAATAAAGCCATAAAAGGCTCGAAGAATGTAAAAACTTCAACATTTCATGCTAATATTATTTGTTAGCTTATTTGTGATTGTACAAAATTTTATTTATGTAAAGCGAAACAAAACTTAGGGTTATATTTTAGTTAGTGGTATTAGTTTTAACAAAAGACTTTTGGAAGTTTTAAAACAAGCAAAGTGTATCCATGTCGTGAAGACGAATTACTTTTAACTTTCTAGAAACCCATTAATGCATTCATTTTAGTGTTTGCTGTTAAATTTAAATGACCCGCGATAAAAAATATATTCCGTCGCACAATAATCATCGCCAGTTGGGAGTTTTATTTTTCGTATCTCACTCGCTCGTATAGCAAAAAGTTTTTACATTAGTTACATGCATCTTAACGACAGGCTCTGGGAGACTGAGTGTTTTTTCATTGAGTCGCCATTCAAATTAGTAGATAAATTTAGTTCTGCCAAAATTATTTCTAAATGTTGTCCAAAACATTCGATGTGCCGACTTGAAACTGTCGAATGCATTGGATTTTATTTACATAAGAGCATCTTCATTTCACAAACGGATAAAAAGTGCAAGGAAAAATATTAGGCGGTAATTTGTACTCGGTCGTTGTTCGCAAGTGAATGTGGGAATCTTTTCGACATTTACACCGTGCAACAGCTTTTGTGTAGGTTTGTTTGTGCGGCAAAGGGGGAGAGATGGTGTAAGGAGAATAGGTAGAATCCGTAATCAAAGTGTGAAAAACCCCAAAGTTTTTCCGGCCGCTACAGGGAAATACGACGACATTAGGACACCCTCGGGGTAAAAATATAGTGAGGGCGCTGGGTGGTATGATCACAGTCGAACAAAACTCATGCATTATGGATTCGTTTGCGACACATCAAGTAAAGCCCTCGTTGACGCCTGTGCTGTCTTTTACAATGCACACACACATGCATGATCATACATACATGTATAGACTTAGGCAACGGACACTGTATACGTTTTTGGAGTGATAAAAAACTAAAGAAAACGCAGAGAAGAAAGGCACACACACACANACATACATGTATAGACTTAGGCAACGGACACTGTATACGTTTTTGGAGTGATAAAAAACTAAAGAAAACGCAGAGAAGAAAGACACACACACACAAAAACAAGTGCCATGCAATGAAGGAAATATATTCCGGGCGGAAATTTGCGGTTACTTCGCGGTAGTGGAACAAAAGACAAAAAAAATAAAAATGATATATAGGGTCTCTGCAGCAGTGTGAAAATATTCTGTGAAACATTGGTCGGTGTCTGAGAGAAGACAATGGCGACTGTGATGACGCCAGTTTCGACATTAAATTGATTGGAAATTATTACTATTTTTTCTTTTGTAAATAAATTGTTATCCTACTTAGCAGTTGAATCGTCGATCAATTTTCTTTTTAGTTAACATTTGAATTTCGAGTACAATACAGCTCGTTAGTCAAATCTTAATAAGTACACCGCTCGGCCGATTTTATTCTACTTAAAATCGATTCGATAATTTTGACATTAAGGTCATACTCCGTTTCGTTTCAATTATGCTGATGACACTCTCATAGCGTAAATTGTTAATAAGAAATATCAATTGTTAACGGTAGTAATCATAAAAAAGAATAATTAGTCTTCAGCTTAATTTAGACGGTTTCTTCTAAATAGCTGTAACTTGTAATCCTATTTTTGAAAAATCATAGTTGCCTATAAAAACGCATAATTTCATTAATTCAGGTCTCGTCCATCAATCGCGTTTTGAGAAACTTAGCCGCCCAAAAAGACCAACAAGCTCCAACGTCGGTGTCTCCAACTTGCAGTTCAGCGGATGCAGTTTACGACAAGTTGAGGTTATTAAACGGGCAAGCTGCTGGGACGGGAACGTGGCCAAGACCAAATCCATGGTGCGTGGGAACCGATTACTATATGTATTGATTCATATTTTTTTATTTAACACAAAATGGTTTTCATTGCTAATCGCACACATTTGCGTTTTT